GAAACATGATTCTTAAAAATGCTCTCCCACTTACAGCCCCAACTTAAGGATCCAGATATTTCGAAACAAATATTATTAAAAGCCAAGATGAAATGGTTCAGTTTGAATGCTAAATTTAAAATCCATGAACAGAATGCAATAATTCAAATGTCTGATAAAACATTTAATAAACTACTGTGCCAGGCTGAGTGGGGTGGGGGAGAACCTCAATAGTACATAAACTGGGACATCTACACAGCACAGCAGAAGGTGATAAGCACTCTAAGGGTAAAGGGGCTGTCTGCGGCACAGGAAAGGGAGGCTGGCACCATTCTGGACAGGGTGTATCAGGGTTGGCTCGGTGGAGGGAGTTGGCCATTTCTGCCATGAGTGAGGGCATCTTCACAGAGCACTCCAAGCAGAGGGACCAGACAATGCAGAAGTCTACCCTATCAGGTATGCCTGAGCCTCCCTTTTGAGTGGAGAGAGGGAGTGAGAGAGAGAGGCAGAGGTAGAGATAGACAGGTACATAGAAGGCGAGGTCACAGAGGTCCCATCGGGCTCTGAGGAAACCCGCAGGTTTTCAGCATGAGTCCCAGGATCTGACCTCTCTGACAAACGTACCCCTGGGCTACTATGTAGAGGAAACTACAGGCCCCTGGGAAAGCAGGGAGGTTGGTGAGGAACTCACATGTTGCAGGTAACAGAGAGGATGGTGGCTTTAGTAAAGTGAGGGCAATGGGAGATGGTAAAAAGAGGTTGGATTCTAGAAATATAGAAGGCAAAGCTTCTCTCACATGCTGAAGAGTTGGATGTAGGGCATTCAAATATAAGGTCGGTATCTAAAACCATTAAGACTAGAATGAGATTACCCTGAAGTACAGACAAAGAACACCTCTCAAACCCAAACCCACAGCCACTGAGTGGATTCCAGCTCACGGAGACCCTGCAGGACAGACTAGAACTGCCCAACAAGATTTCCAAAGCTGTGTAGCTTTATGGAAGTAAACTGAGGGGCTGGCAGATTTGAATCACTGACTTTTAGGTATGCAGTGGAGTGCTTTAAACACTGCATCACTAAGTCTCTTGGCTGCCTCCCAAAGTATTTGAACTTGTTAATTCCTTGTGGAGCACCTGAGAGTGCTCTGATTATTATTTTTAAAATAATTCCCAAAGAGTTTCTTCTCTTTTAAGAAACTTGTAACAAAAATTAAGACAAAGAAATGGTATA